TTGCAGCTCAGAAATTTCTCAAAATATTTTTGCAGAGAGGATGCCACCATCACTACTATGTTGCAATACATTGGTTGATTTGCACTGGATATTCATACATACGTTTTACCATTGCAATTATAGATCCATTTGTACAGTTTGATAGAGGACGTGTAGGATTGCGCTGCGTTTTTTGCTTTTTGTTGATTCAGGTTGGATGTGGGAACACCCATCAATGCTGGCACCAATCAGCTAAAAATATTCTGTGATTGCTGAGTTTGAGATTTTTTACTTTTTTATTGATATACAGAGGACATACTGATCACCATTATACAGGGGGGGGGGGGGGGCACACTAGCCACCATTATGCAGATGCACACTGACCACTAATGTAAGGGGGCACAAAGAGTATGGGCCACCAATGTGAGAGAGCGCACTGAGGAACCAATGTGAGAGAGCGCACTGAGGAACCAATGTGAGAGAGCGCACTGAAGAACCAATGTGAGAGAGCGCACTGAGGAATTAATGTTCTACGTAGTCTTGACCCCCGCACTCTATAGCCAAATAGTGATGACCTTTTTATAAGGTATGCTATGTTGTATGTTGCACTATGAAGGCACACTGATTGCTATAATGCTGAGGGTTTATTATTGTGCAATGTTGGGGGTTAATTATTGTGCTGTGCTGGGGGTTTATTATTGTGTTGTGCTGGGGGTTTATTATTGTGCAATGTTGAGGGTTAATTACTGTGTTGTGCTGGGGGTTTACTATTGTGTTGTGCTGGGGGTTTGCTATTGTGTTGTGCTGGGGGTTTACTATTGTGTTGTGCTGGGGGTTTGCTATTGTGTTGTGCTGGGGGGTTTGCTATTGTGTTGTGCTGGGGGTTTACTATTGTGTTGTGCTGGGGGTTTGCTATTGTGTTGTGCTGGGGGTTTGCTATTGTGTTGTGCTGGGGGTTTACTATTGTGTTGTGCTGGGGGTTTACTATTGTGTTGTGCTGGGGGTTTATTATTATTGTGTTGTGCTGGGGGTTTACTATTGTGTTGTGTTGGGGGTGTATTGCTGTGCTGGGGGTTTACTATTGTGTTGTCCTGGGGGTTTGCTATTGTGCTGTGTTGGGGGTTTATTATTGTGCTCTGCTGGGGGTTTATTACTGTGTTGTGCTGGGGGTTTGCTATTGTGTTGTGCTGCGGGTTTATTATTGTGCTCTGCTGGGGGTTTATTACTGTGCTCTGCTGGGGGTTTGCTATTGTGTTGTGCTGGGGGTTTATTATTGTGCTGTGTTGGGGGTTTATTACTGTGCTCTGCTGGGGGTTTACTATTGTGTTGTGCTGGGGGTTTATTACTGTGTTGTGCTGGGGGTTTACTATTGTGTTGTGCTGGTGGTTTACTATTGTGTTGTGCTGGGGGTTTACTATTGTGTTGTGCTGGGGGTTTACTATTGTGTTGTGCTGGGGGTTTACTATTGTGTTGTGCTGGGGGTTTACTATTGTGTTGTGCTGGGGGTTTACTATTGTGTTGTGCTGGGGGTTTATTATTGCAAGGTCAGCAGAATTCACCTGCCAAGGACTTTACATTCCTACGCAGTCCTGAAATTTACACAGCTCTGCCACACAGCGCCTGGGACAGGAGTCTGCTGACCTGGCATATGGTAATGTGTATGGTTCCCCCTGGTGGCTGATGACTGAATCTCTGGAGTCTGGATATCCTCCTCTGATGTGTGTTACTTACCTGGGTGTTGCTGGCCGGATGACCCCCTGTGCTGCAGCGTTCCAGATCCAGATGACCAGGAGTTGGTCTTATTATACTCCAATGCGCAAGGGATTGTGCTATCAGGTTCGTGTAATCTACATCCATTCTCACAGCCACAGCAGTCACGGAACTTTGCACCATTTATTACTGTTATTGGAAATATTGACTTTTATCACATATGTCTCTGTATGCACCTTCAACGTTGAGTTCATGATGTTTCACTTCTTTAGCGCTGGTCTTCAGCGCCGTGGAGCACTGTTTACGCGCATAAATTAATTAGTTTACGTGAAAGTTATAGCGTCTACAAATGGCGGGATAGATACTGGAATATATTTTTTTTATACTAGTAATGGCGACAATCAGAAACTTATAGTGGGACTGCAGCGGCATTCTGACACTGGGGGGAACTGACTTGGTGTCACTGACATCCCCAGTGACACCAATCATCAGTAATAAAATGCACTGACACTGTACTAATGACACTGGGCAGGAAGGAGTTAACATGTGGGGCCATCAAAGGGTTAACTGTGTGCTGAGAGTGTTTTACTGTGTGCTTTGTGTGTGCTTTCCACTGTAAGTACACGGCTTTGTATGGCAACAACCACATATGTGTATGTTAGTTGCTGTTGTTTGTACCCGGCACTGGCACTGACCTGGATCAAAACTCAATCTAGGTTTTTTTTTTATGTTTTATTTATTTTTTAATTTTATATATATATATTTTGAAATATATTGAATTTGGCCAATATTGTAGTATTTAAAAAATATGGCAATGTATTTGGGAAGAATATTTTTAAAATATATTTCAAATATATTTTTCTTCCATGTGGGTATACTGAATGCACATTTGTGTTTTGCTTTAATTACACTTTATAATATACATTTAATGTATTTACAGGTTTTTTTTTTTTTATTACCAGCTAAAAATTGAGGCAGTCTCACTATCTTCCACTTCATATAAAATCATCTTTCAGTTGCTGGATGATTTTTCCAGCTGTCTCTGGCTCCAGGCATTCCTTTCCGAAATATGGCTCCTCTATCCCATATGGAAGCAAATATATTTGAAATATATTTTAAAAATATTCTTCCCAAATATATTGCCATATATTGCAAATGATACAATTTTTGGCCATATTCAATATATTTAAAAATATATTTTAAAAAATTAAAAAAAATATATATTTATATTTATTTATTTCAGGTACTTATATAGCGCTGTCAATTTACGCAGCGCTTCACATATATGTTATACATTCACATCAGTCCCCGCCCCCGAGGGGCGTACAATCTAAGGTCCCTAACTCACATCCATACATACACATACTAGGGACAATTTGGACAGGATCCAATTAACCTGCCAGCATGTCTTTGGAGTGTGGGAGGAAATTAGAGTACCTGGAGGAAACCCACACAGGCACAGGGAGAACATGCAAACTCCAGGCAGGCAGTGCCATGGTTGGGATTCAAACCAGCGACCCGAGTGCTGCCAGGCAGAAGTGCTAACCATTAAACCACTGTGCTGCCCAGATGTATGACAACACCCCTTTTGAGGACGTATTCTGTATACAAAACGCGTTAAGGAGGAGCCTTCATACGCCGTGACGTCACGTTTTCCTACTGCTTTTACTATATCGCAGTTATGTGTCTGTTTTACTTATTTTAGCGCTGCACTTTTTTTATTCTAATGGTCCATAGCTGTTCTGGTCATAGGAGGGAACAATCGGGAGGCCACTGAATTCCGTGGTGTGTGGACTATGCACTGATATATAGTGGGCAATCTATGTCTTCTAGGTATCAGTACCCAGAATCCTTAGCACTGGTTCACCAGACCAAAGGAACAGATCTTCTTGCAAAGACAGAAGATCGGACAACGGGAAGGAGAACTTAAAGTTGCCATAACGAGAAGCAGATCGCATGAAGAACTGGCAAACTTTTCCTTTACTTTTCCTTCATACATTGTGGACATCTCTGGGGAGAGCAAACCTTTACGTTCTCCAAAGCCTGTTGGCTGCCTCCGTCAATATCATTTAAAGAGAGGCTTGCGCTCCAGAATGACAAATCCTTGAATTCAGGTCTGGAATCTATTTCCATTGCTTTAAAACAGTATAGTGGCAGGTTAGGGTAGTATAGTGGCAGTAGAGTAGCAGGTTGGGGTAGTATAGTGGCAGGTTGGGGTAGTATAGTGGCAGTAGAGTGGCAGGTTGGGGTAGTATAGTGGCAGTATAGTGGCAGGTTGGGGTAGTATAGTGGCAGGTTGGGGTAGTATAGTGGCAGTATAGTGGCAGGTTGGGGTAGTATAGTGGCAGGTTGGGGTAGTATAGTGGCAGTATAGTGGCAGGTTGGGGTAGTATAGTGGCAGGTTGGGGTAGTATAGTGGCAGTATAGTGGCAGGTTGGGGTAGTATAGTGGCAGGTTGGGGTAGTATAGTGGCAGGTTGGGGTAGTATAGTGGCAGGTTGGGGTAGTATAGTGGCAGTATAGTGGCAGGTTGGGGTAGTATAGTGGCAGGTTGGGGTAGTATAGTGGCAGGTTGGGGTAGTATAGTGGCAGCATAGTAGCAGGTTGGGGTAGTATAGTGGCAGCATAGTGGCAGGTTGGGGTAGTATAGTGGCAGATTAGGGTAGTATAGTGGCAGGCTGGGGTAATATAGTGGCAGGCTGGGATAGTATAGTGGCAGTATAGTGGCAGGTTGGGGTAGTATAGTGGCAGGTTGGGGTAGTATAGTGGCAGTATAGTGGCAGGTTGGGGTAGTATAGTGGCAGGTTGGGGTAATATAGTGGCAGGCTGGGGTAATATAGTGGCAGGCTGGGATAGTATAGTGGCAGTATAGTGGCAGGTTGGGGTAGTATAGTGGCAGGTTGGGGTAGTATAGTGGCAGTATAGTGGCAGGTTGGGGTAGTATAGTGGCAGATTAGGGTAGTATAGTGGCAGGTTAGTGCAGTATAGTGGCAGGCTGGGGTAGTATAGTGGCAGGTTGGGGTAGTATAGTGGCAGGTTAGGGCAGTATAGTGGCAGATTAGGGTAGTATAGTGGCAGGTTAGTGCAGTATAGTGGCAGGCTGGGGTAGTATAGTGGCAGGTTGGGGTAGTATAGTGGCAGGTTAGGGCAGTATAGTGGCAGATTAGGGTAGTATAGTGGCAGGTTAGTGCAGTATAGTGGCAGGTTGGGGTAGTATAGTGGCAGTATAGTGTCATTTACATTTAATGATAACAAAACAAGATAAAACATTTTCTCTGTAAAATCAATAAGGGAAGAACACACAGGGGTTTATTTCAGAATCAGACACTCATCCAATGTAAATCCAGCTCTAAGCAGATAAGATCAGGGTTGTGTTCTGTACCAGGTGCAGCTCCACTTGTGACCAACAGAGGACGTGTCCTAGGAATCCACTATATCATACACTATATTGCCCAAAGTATTGGCCCCGCCCTCCCAATCATGTGATTCAGGTGTTCCAATCCCCTCCATATCATGTGATTCAGGTGTTCCAATCCCCTCCCAATCATGTGATTCAGGAGTTCCAATCCCCTCCATGGACACAGGTGTATACAATCCATCCCCTAGGCATGCAGACGGCTTCTACAAACATTGGTGAAAGAATGGGTCGCTCTCAGGAGCTCAGTGACTCCAAGCGTGGTCCCGTGATAGGTGGCCCCCTGTGCAATAAGTCCATCCGTAACATTTCCTGGCTACTAAATATTCCACGCTCAACTGTTAGTGGGATTATAACAAAGTGGAAGCCACTGGGAACAACAGCCACTCAGCCACCAAGTGGTAGGCCACGTCACATGACAGGGCGGGGTCAGCGCATGCTGAAGTGCACAGTGCGCAGAAGTCGCCAACTGTCTGCAGAGTCAATAGCTAAAGACCTCCAAACTTGGTGTGGCCTTCAGATGAGCCCAACAACAGTGTGTAGAGAGCTTCATGGAATGGGTTTCCATGGCCGAGCAGCTGCATCCAAGCCTTCCATCACCAAGTGCAATGCAAAGCGTCGGATGCCGTAGTGTAAAGCACACCGCCACTGCACTTTAGAGCAGTGGAGGCGTGTTCTCTGGAGTGACCAATCACGCTTCTCTGTCTGGCAATCCGATGGACGTGTCTGGGTTTGGCGGTGGCCAGGAGAACAGTACTTGCCTGACTGCACTGTGCCAAGTGTAAAGTTTGGTGGAGGGGGATTATGCTGTGAGACTGTTTTTCAGGGGTTGGGCTTGGCCCCCTAGTTCCAGTGAAGGGAACTCTTAAGGTGACATTTTGGACAATTTCATGCTCCCAACTTTGTGGGAAGAGTTTGGGGATGACCCCTTCCTGTTCCAACATGACTGCCCACCAGTGCACAAAGCAAGGTCTATAAAGACATGGAGGAGCCAGTTTGGGGTGGAGGAACTTGACTGTCCTGCACAGAGTCCTGACCTCAACCCCATAGAACACCTTTGGGATGAATTAGAGTGTAGACTGCGAGCCAGGCCTCCTCCCCCGACATCAGTGCCTGACCTGACAAATGTGCTTCTGGAAGAATGGTCCAACCTTCCCATAGACACCCTCCTAAACCTTGTGGACGGCCTTCCCAGAAGAGTTGAAGCTGTTATAGCTGCAAAGGGCGGGGCCAACTCAATATTGGACCCTACGGACTAAGACTGGGGGGCCATTAAAGGTCATGTGTGTGGAAAGGCCGACCAATACTTTTGGCATAGTAGTGTACAGTGGGGCAAAAAAGTATTTAGTCACCACCAATTGTACAAGTTCTCCCACTTAATAAGACGAGAGAGGCCTGTAATTGGCATCATAGGGAGACCTCAACTATGAGAGACAAAATGAGAAAACAAATCCAGACAATCTCATTGGCTGATCTGGAAAGAATTTATTTGCAAATTATGGTGGAAAATAAGTATTTGGTCACCTACAAACAAGCAAGATTTCTGGCTCTCACAGACCTGTACCTTCTTCTTTAAGAGGCTCCTCTGTCCTGCACTCATTACCTGTATCAATGGCACCTGTTTGAACTTGTTATCAGTATAAAAGACACCTGTCCACAACCTCAAACAGTCACACTCCAAACTCCACTATGGTGAAGACTAAAGAGCTGTCAAAGGACACCAGAAACAAAATTGTAGACCTGCACCAGGCTGGGAAGACTGAATCTGCAATAGGCAAGCAGCTTGGTGTGAACACATCAACTGTGGGAGCAATAATTAGAAAATGGAAGACATACAAGACCACTGATAATCTCCCTCGATCTGGGGCTCCACGCAAGATCTCACCCCGTGGGGTCAAAATGATCACAAGAATGGTGAGCAAAAATCCCAGGACCACACGGGGGGACCTAGTGAATGACCTGCAGAGAGCTGGGACCAACGTAACAAAGGCTACCATCACACACACTACACCACCAGGGACTCAGATCCTGCAGTGCCAGACGTGTCCCGCTGCTTAAGCCAGTACATGTCCGGGCCCATCTGAAGTTTGCTAGAGAGCATTTGGATGATCCAGAAGAGGATTGGGAGAATGTCATATGGTCAGATGAAACCAAAATAGAACTGTTTGGTAGAAACACAACTCGTCGTGTTTGTAGGAGAGAGAATGCTGAGTTGCATCCAAAGAACACCATACCTATTGTGAAGCATGGGGGTGGCAACATCATGCTTTGGGGCTGTTTCTCCGCAAAGGGACCAGGGGGACTGATCCATGTACAGGATAGAATGAATGGGGCCATGTATCGTGAGATTTTGAGTGCAAACCTCCTTCCATCAGCAAGGGCATTGAAGATGAAACGTGGCTGGGTCTTCCAACATGACAATGATCCCAAACATACCGCCCGGGCAACGAAGGAGTGGCTTCGTAAGAAGCATTTAAAGGTCCTGGAGTGGCCTAGCCAGTCTCCAGATCTCAACCCCATAGAAAACCTTTGGAGGGAGTTGAAAGTCCGTGTTGCCCAGCGACAGCCCCAAAACATCACTGCTCTAGAGGAGATCTGCATGGAGGATGGGCCAACATACCAGCAACAGTGTGTGCCAACCTTGTGAAGACTTACAGGAAACATCTCACCAAATACTTATTTGGGGTCTCCCTATGATGCCAATTACAGGCCTCTCTCATCTTTGTAAGTGGGAGAACTTGCACAATTGGTGGCGGACTAAATACTTTTTTGCCCCACTGTATATAGGAGACAGGGCCCAGACAAGGGGTGAGCAGGAGGGGCAGCTTCCCCAGGAACAGTGTAGCAAGCGGGAAAAGAACAGATGCATGACACCCATTCTACGGCATGTATCATCAGTGGGGGAGCACAATTCTGGATCTTTGCCCTGGGCACTGGACGACCGTGTTCCAATACTGATAGGAAATGATCTCCTATATAATTACATGTAGCACTACCTCCTTAGGGGTTTCAGAATTATTTTCGGGCTTCCTGTCTCTCTTGACCCCACTCTGAAAGCCCAAGCCCTGCTGACACCACGGTACACCTCTGGCCAGGGTAAACCCCCTGGTTATTGCCCGAGGGCCCAGTGACAGTAGGGGGCCCCATGAGATGCCCCTGGTACCTTTCATATGCTTTTTTGGGTGCAGGTTGAGTTTGGGCGAGGACACAGGTACCCCATGATCCTCTATTGACCGGGGGCCCCATGAGTTGTCAGTCCGCCCCTGGACACAGTGTAAAGTGAACTGATATTTTGTTTATATTGGAGCTGAATGTGAGCACAGTAAAACAATATAAAGCAATAGATGTGCAAATAATAGCAGTTATCACTCTTAGTAATTTTAAACAAAAGGCAATACACACCGCAAAAATCTCACTCAGTTCTGGATGTCCTGCAATTCATAATTTAACCAAAAGCCTCAACTCTGAGATGTTCCTGTCCCCAGTGAGCAGAAAAAAAAAACCTACTAAAAAGTAACGCTAGCTCACTTTGGGCCCTCAGAAGCTGGTGACAGGGTTTTAATTCTGAGGCAAAAGAAAGAGCTCTTTAATCGGGAAGGTTAACATCCCTTTTACTGCAGTGGAAGATGTTCTGCGCGCTCAATGGGGCCCAGGTTGGTGCACTACAAGAATTCGGATCTCCTTGGATGCAATAGGTGGAAGTTCCTTAAAGTATTAATGCAAGAAGAGGCACTATCCCTTTCAGCGGTATTCAGGTCACTAGTGGTGTCTCTGTAGATGGGGGCCCCCAGGGGTCCTGTGGTCCCTCCTGCAGTGTTCCTGTGGTCCCTCCTGCAGTGTTCGTTCCTGACAGCAGCACTCCAGGTCACCGGCCAACAGGGTACTTCTGGAGACTTGGTGATGTCAGCGGTCAGCTATTCCCCCCTTTTTCTCCATTCTCTCACACTCCGCGGCCTGGTGCGGTCCGCCGCCATTCCGCGTACCCACCTTCCAACTCTCCCAGCTCACTTCCCAACCCTGGGTTCCCAGGCTTCTGTATATATCTGGCCTCCACCCACACGCCAACTCCTCTGGGAAATGTAGTCCCCCTTGTAGCCGTCTAACAAAGTCCAGCAGTTCGGCCTACAAAATCCATGAAGCTTTTCACCAGAGTTGCAGGACACTGCCACCTTGTGTCTCTTTCAACATCCTGCAGTCTGAATGATAGCAGGGTGTTACACACACAAGAGCCGATCCATCTTAGACACCAAAAACAAAATCTCCAAAACGTAAAAAATCGTCCTTTAGTGGCGTGGAGATTGCAGGAGATTGCAGGAGATTGCTGGGACTGTTAGAATAGTCTGATTAGATGAAAGCGAATGTAAATTCAAATCACGGGTGGTATGGATGGGGCCACTATTACTACCCTACGAGTTACAATCACAGAATCCCAAAACATTTGGCACCAGGTATCAAATAATGACAGCTACGTAGCTTACAAATTTTTATTTTTACACAATAAAAAAAAGGCAATACATAAAACACATAAAAAATGGAAACAATTCTGAATCATTAACCCCTCCCCCTCCAGAGGAGTTCCCCCCCCCCCCCTCCCTGACCAGGCCATTTTTTTGCATTACGGTGATACGTTGCTTTAACTGGAAAGTGCGCAGTCATGCAACGCTGCACCCAAATTAAATTTACGTCCTTTTTCCCCACAATTAGAGCTTTCTTTTAGTGTATTTGATCTCCTCTGCGGTTTTTATTTTTTTACGCTATAAACAAAAAAGACCGACAATTTTGGGAAAAAAATACTATATGTTTGACTTTTTGTTATTAAACATGTCCAGTAAAAAAATAAAAAAAAAAATCAAATTTCTTATAAATTTTGGCCAGAATGTATTCTTCTCTGTGTCTTTGCTAAAAACAAATCCCGATACATGTAAATTAATTGGTTTACGTGAAATTTATTGTGTTTAAAAATGGCGGTATAGATACTGGGATTTATATATTTTTTATACTAGTAATGGTGGCGATCAGTGACTTATAGCGGGACTGCGACGGGCATTCTGACACCAGGGGGGGAACTGGCTTTGTGTCACTAACATCCCAAGACAGTGATCAGTGCTAATAAAAAGCACTGACACTGTACTAATGGCACTGGGCAGGAAGGGGTTAACATGTGGGGCGATCAAAGGGTTAACTGTGTGCTGTGTTACTAGTGAGACATGCTGTGCAGAGAGCTACAAAGCAGCATGTCCTTGCTGGCCGGAGAGAGATCAGTTTCTCGGCAATCACTTGGTGCAGGCGGGGAATCTCTGGACCCGGTGATTGACAGCTGTAGCCGCCAATGGTGACGCGGGTAGGGTAGCA